CTATCTCTACACTTTCTCACAACTCAACTATAGAGATTTTTACAGACTTACAATTTGTTATCTCTAAATACAACAAACTCTAGACTTTATTATCTTATTCATTGAAACAATCCAAATTCAATATCTGGCCTATTTGGTACATACTTCTCAATATTCTCAAAGTCTACAATATTCAACTCTTTTTCTACAAAGTTCAAGCTCATTTTGACAACCTCTTTAATAATCTTGCAGATTTACTTGCAAATAACCACTCTACTTCACCAATTCTACACTTCAACTATATTAATCTTTACAACCTATTCTCTATCTTGTAATAGAACAAAAGTTTTATCGAAAGCCCTACTAGACAATTTATTAAATTAATTTGAAAAGCTCAAAATATTACTTTATGGTTCTTACAACATCATACTCATAAATGGTCTTACTTCTCTCATCTAATTAACCAGAAAGCCTTTTGGCTATATTTTAACAACAACCAAAAAGTATCACACAATCTCACCAACCCTAAATTAAACTATCTCAAATCCTTTAAAATTAAAATGCTTTTTAATATTCTTCCAACACATGCATATTTTCACTCTATCTATCTCTCTACTTTTATATCTTCTAATTGTTTCTTATACAACTATTCTAATATCCTCTCTTACTAGTACTTCTGCTCTAACAATACACTTTTAACCCAAACTATTAACACCTCAATCTATAATATTATCTCTAATGCTAATCTTAACCTTTCAACACACCAACTAAATAACCTAATATATACTATCACCTTATATTCTTCTTTTAACTTCACCTCATTATAGCTATATCTCTACACTTTTGATTTTACACTTAAAGATCTCATACCCACCACTCTAATTCAATCACTAAACCCTTTTAAAATTTCTTACTCCCAAGCCTCTCAACTTATTATTAAAATATTTTTAAAAATTTCAGATTAACTTTATAATAATATTTGAATTCTTTACTGCTTTAACTTTTTTCACTAGAAAAAAGCTTATCAAATTCTATCATGAATCAACACTATATCTCAGTCCTTCTTACTCTCCAAAAATCACAAAAATAGAATTATATATATATAGTTGCCTCTATAGCTATGCTGATCAGCTACATTTTGACTCTAATACATGCTCTCCATTAGAATAAGCTTTTCTCAAATACAATATTTGGTTTACTATATGAATCAAATATAGCATACATATTAACTAAATTTTAACTATTCAAATCTAGATGAGTCTTAACCGCTCTAGTAGGTTTAGATCACAGATAAATTAGTCTGAGCTTCTATTCTTGTATGTAATTTATATTTATTTGTTTGTATACAAATTAAGACTTTATATAGTTTCTATGTAATTACTTATATAAATTATTTAATAAAGATATAAGGAAGGCCTCACCTTAAAACCCCCCCAAAAAAAAATAAAAAAATTTTTGATTTATATATATATTTATTTATTTTATTACAGTATATCTATGCTATATATTTATTATACAATTAAACTAGTTTTTATATTTTAAATAATACTAAAAATCAAATTAATTGTTTTTTGTTTTTTAGTAATATATAGTCAGACCTCTCTAAATGCATGCTCAAATGCTGGCCCAAGTATATACTTGATCTTCATAAATGCATCTTTTCTTATTATTCTCTATATGCATATTATTAAAGTGTGGTCCCAAAGGCCTGCACTTAAAGAGGTCTGACTGTATTAAAGATACTTATTTAACTATTCAATAAAGTTTACAATAAGGCAAACAGTAATACATATAGCATCTAAATTTCCAAAGAGTTTTTTAAAATGCATACACTTATATTGAGCTCTTTAATACATACAATAAAAAACAAAATCATATGCATTAAATATCTCAAGATCTTTGTATTCAAAAAAAATATATATATATATATGGGGACAAATTTATCTAATAAATTTGTCTTATTTCTATTAACTTCATCTCATATACTGTATGGGGTTGAGTTAATAGAAACCAAGCAAATATTTTTTAATGTTTTTTTAAATTTTAAACAAGAATAACCTAACAAAAACTTAATCAAATTCAATAAATTTTTTTTTAAATTAATTGTCAAATTTTGTTATTCTTTGTTTAAAGTTATAAAAAATTTTTATCATAAAAAATTTGCTTGATTTCTATTGACTCACCCCATATAAAGAATCTATAGTATAATACTAGTAAATAATTCAAAAACAATTGTTAATTGGAAATGTTTACAGTTAAACAATAGGATAAAAAAAGTGCAATTCATTGTTGTGTTGCCACTGTATATATACAGTATAAAGATTCAAAAAGATACCAACATTATTTTTTCTAAAGAATTTTTTACGTAATATATACAAATAGATTAATTCGTACAGATAAATATCCATCAAGTAACATTATAAATTCTTGTGTCAATGTAAAATATATAATCTAATAATTGTATATTAAAAAAAAAGGTTAGAACCCAGGTTTCGTCATTGAGTTAATTCCTACTCCTTCCCCGGGGCTTTAGCCCCTATTACGTTTCCCACCTATCCGGGTTAGCCTTTATAGAATATGTTTTAAATAAAATATTGTATATAAAATATACCCCATATTATTAATAATTTTTTAATTTTATTTAAAAAATTATAAATACTTTTCAAAATTCCAGGCAAATTTGCCTGGAAAACAGTTTAAGGGATACAACTTACATTTAATAAGGCATGACTACGTTTGCTGTGTTACTACTACAAAAATTTTTGACAAAAGTTCACAGGCTTTATTTACATGATTTGTGATAAATTATTATGGGGTCGAACTAAAGATAAAATGAATCCTGAATCCGGTTTTTGTTTGAATTGTGTAGTTTGATGTACGGGTAAGTTATCGTTATCAATTGTATAATAAGCAATAAATAATATGGTTATAATTATTTTAAATGTGAGAGTCACATCTCGTTGGGCTATAGGAACCGTAGAATGATCAGTCGTATGCGAAACATTCCGGTAAGATCACTAAGCAATAGTAAATAACTTTTTTTTTATGAATATTAGGGTATCTCATGTAGTGACTGTGTTCATTGCTGTTGTCCGTATTGTGGTTTAGTTACTTTTTAATTTTTAATTTTATTTAATTTGATATATTTAAAATATTTAAAATACGCAATTAATATAATAATTATAATGGGCGTAATTTTTTTCCCTAGACTTATCCAAGAAACAAGGGAATTTGTGTGACGGTTATTTTGCTATTTTCCTGTACGATACGAACATAGACCTGATCTGATTCTTTATAGCTATCATTCTCCTTTGCACCTCGTACATATATTGGATATTTTTTTTCACACGTAATAAATCAATTCTTTGTGACTATACATTTATTGGTAGAATTTGAGCACGTGAAAAAAATTTAAGCCATTTTTTGCATAGTAGATACAGTGTTGTTTTAAAAGTTTTAGACGTAATAATTACGTATTTAGCGACGTAAGTGTATCCAAGTTTGGTGTTTAATATTCGAAAAGACGTAATATCATGTATTAAACGCCGATGGATACCACGTCAGGTAAGAACTGGTTTTTAATATTCCATGTTCATAAATTGGAGATATATAAAGATGATAATAAAAAAGTATAATAAATATTAAACTGAGACAAGAATAGTATTTTAATATGCACAGAACCTTAACAGATTCGCTAGGACAGAAAAGGGGTTCACATATAAATAGATTAGTACAGTAGTATAAACACGATTAAGAATTTTGTTTATTCGGTAACGTCTATTATTAAATATTTATTGGGAATCGTATACACTTTGAAAATGAAACATAAAAAAAGTTGTTTTGTTCAGCCCACACGTGTAGACTTTATTCGCGTAAAGATTGAGCAACCATTATATATTTTCCGAATAATATGGACCATAACTTTTATATAATAATCGTTCGGCGTTTTTTTTTTTTTTTTTTTTTTTTTTCTTCAATTTAATTTTTTTTTTTTTTGCAACCTGATGACAACACCAACACCCTTCGAAGCCTTCGAAGGATTTAGGGATGGTACGACTTACCAACCAATATGTTCTTACTTGCAAATCATCTGCTCATAACGAATCCTTAATTACATCATCTACTGAGAATCTTTGTGTCTGTGACTTTAGATTAAATATTAGAGGATGTGCAGAAGAAAATTTGCTCGTGACCATAAACTTATCGCTTTTTGTTTATTCCACGTTCATTACTATAACTTCCATTTTAATTCTTTATTATTTCCTGAAAATTAAAAATTATTCAATTTTAATACCGAGACTTAAAAACCATAAATTTTTCTACAAGATTCGTTCATTTTATGTTATTGAAGGATCCATATTATTATTTAATTTTTGTAATTTTTTTTTTTTTTTGTAAATTTTTATTTTTGAAAAAGTAATAAATATGTAATTAATAATTACTATTTATTGATAGTTCGTGCAACCCATTCACTTTGCCTTCTTACGGGTGTGTATTCAAATACGACCGAAGCTGAAAGTAAGCACTTTAATATCTTTCATTCTTCTAAATTTGACTATTTATTTGATTACTATTGACGTGAATTCAGTTGGCAATGACCTGTCTACAGTTTTTTCCGGAATTCTATGTGCATTCTATCCACTATGTATACTAAACGCTAGTCCAATTGGAAATGATGTATTTGCATTAATTGTTTTCACTGTACGGCGAACGATAAACAAAAAACTTGTAATTTATACGGTGATTTCTTTGTCCACTTTGCTACTTGTAACTATTTTACCACTTTCATTCCTTTGTGGATACTATGTCGACATTGGCAAAATGGATAAAGCGATTATGTTATTTATGATACGTTATTTGGTTTGGTCCGTTTGGACTGTCTGTTTCATATTTCTGGTAATAAAAAAAATTTTTTTTTTCTTTTTTTAAATGTTTCTATGTATTAAAGAAAACATGTACATACTTATATAATTGTTTTACTCGAATTTATCAAGATAATTTGCATTTGGCATAAATACGTAATGATAATATTAGATAGCATTCAGCAAGAAGAACGATATAATTTTAATGATGAGGATCTTAATTTTAAATTGGGTCGACTCAAATCAGGTGCTGGAAACGTATGTAAAAAAAAAAAAAAATTTACAAATTACACGTTCGTATATGATTTTAATTACAAATTTATGTATTTTATTTACATAGCTGTTACGATCTATGTTTACTATTATGTTAGTTGCTATCTTTTATTCTACCCTATGCATAAGCTATGGCCTGTTTCACAAAACCGAAACGACATTTATACGTTCAATTAATATAATGTACATTTTGATCTGGAACGTCGCGATTCCTGTTTTTCTCCACATCTGTCAAATTATTCATATATTGAAGTATGTATTATTTCTTATATATCAAAATTATATATATATTTTCTAATTATAATTTTCTGAAATTGTTTAAATTGTTGATTTTAAATACTCCAAAGTTCCCTTAAAGTAATTTGCAAACGTTCCAATTTTGGTTATGGAGTTTCTGGTAATCTAGTTATACCATTGGTAACATCTCCAATAATAAATTTCGAATTAATTCGAAATGAAAATGGTATTCAATTTTTTTTTTTTCAATTAAAAAAATAAAATTCCTTTAATAATAAAATACTGAAAAAATTTTTTTTCTTATCATCGCTTAGAACTACCTTATTACGTAAATTCTGTATATGAAGATGATCGTAAATTTCTTTCAAGCAAAAATTCTACAAATAATGTTAAAAATATTGAAGAATCAAAAATTTTTGAAAGAATGAGAGAATACCAATATAATCAAGTTATTGAGCAAAGCTCCTCTAAAATATCATATACCAGATCATCTAATGTTTCGGCATCAACTTGTAAAGAAAGTTCGAAAGAGAGGAATGTTAACAAAGATTGGTTAATCGAGGCACCTAAAAAAGTGCTTATTCGAAATAGTTTTTCATCCTAAAATATTCACGCATGATCTCTCTCTCAATACTTAATAATAATGTAATAATAATTATAATTATAATAAATCATTTCATTTTATTTAATCATCGTTGATAAATATTATTGAATAGCAGTAATCATTGATCTTGATCGAACGTTCATAATCACTTAACAAAATAATAATAATAATAATAATAATAATAATAATAATAATAATAATAATAATAATCCTTATTGAATAATGCTTTTCTTTACAAGAAAATCTCTTCTAAAATAATTATCTTTTTATTGATGCCAAATAAATAAATAAAATTTCGTATCAAGCGTTATTACGCTAATAACGTTGAATTATTACATTTTTCTAAAATGAATTTTCTAAACATTATTTCTTTATACTTTACACGACCATTGTGGTTAGTTTAGCACAATCTGGTCCTCCAGGCATGGGTTTGGAGGTGGTGGAATCCGAAAGGTGGTAATCAAGGTTTTGATCCATCAGACCTATTAGGAGGAAACCTAAAAGGCAGTAATCAAGGCTTTGATCCATCAAGTATTTTAGGTGGCAATGGTAGTGGTAATTAAGGCTTTGATCCCTCAAGTTTATTAGGTGGTCCAGAGCCGAAATCCGTACCAGGTCGCGGTCAGAATCAATTACCTAAATCCAGTTCTCAAATGGTAACGCGTAAAAAGTCCTCCAGCAAAGACAGCTCCATCATCAAGTCAAGGCAAGGCCCCTACTTCCAGTTCTCCCCAAACTTCTCCAGCAGGCATTGAAAGAGGGGCACCATCAAAAGGCAAATTAATATGCAACTATTTTATAAGCTAATCTTATTTATAATATTATCAACACATAATGTAATCTATTCTATAGGCAATCACCGGATATTCGCAAAATACCTTGGCAAGAAAAAGAAAAAGCATGTATTTGTTCAGGTAAATATAAATTCAAAAATTTAATCTAATTTTTTTTTTTTTTTTATGAAGACTGAAGGAGCTATGCTAACTTTAACGCAATCGCAGTGGCCCCCTGACAATACTATTATTGAACTAGAACTTCAGATGAGCACGAGAGTTGTTGGTATGTTTCATGTTTTCTTATATAACAACTTACAAGCAGTGCCGGATGAAAAGGCAAAAAAAAGAGATTACTCTTCTAATGGCAAGGTAAACCATTTTTCAGGCAGCAGCAAGTTTTTAAGATCTTATTTGATATTTTTATATATAAGGTAAATGAGGGTATTTTGACAAGTTACCACTTCTTACTAATAAAAGTCTGTCAAAGTTTTATTTTTTTGTTTTTGAACCATGTAAATTTGAATTTGCTTTACAATATAAAAAAAATAAAAACTCATGTTTTATATAAATTATATTATGATCTCTATGCAACAACAATTTTTAACTTCGAATGTGACGATCATTAACATTTGGTAAATGTGGTATACTATCTTTTACTTATCCTCAACTTTTAGCAAATTCTAATGACTTTTTCTAATAGCTTTTTTTGTTTGGCGCAGTAAATCAATTTTTTGTGTTGGAACATATAACGAAAAAACTTATTAATAAAAGGTTATTCGAATTGTACCAAAATTTGAGGGTAAGTAAAAGATCGTATGTTGAACAATTTTACTTAGTAAGCGGGGTTAGGTTACTTGAAAAAAATCTTTTTTCTTGTAAATGTTCAATTTATCAAAATACCCACATTTATCATAATATCCCACACTTACCTTATATTTTATTTATCGATCATATCACCACTAATCTAATAGTGTTTACTAATTTCCCCAAGTTTCTATTGGCCATTGACAAATAGAATTTCTGATTGGACGAAATAATAACATGACTTTACAAACCAATAAAAAAAAAGGCTCTCAACTTTGATTTTTTTTTCTTGACTTTAATAATAATAATAGTAATAAAATCTTGAATTTTTTTAATAAAAATTTAAAAAATGATTTTTTTTAAAGCGCATATATATATATAATTTTGTATAATTTTTTTAAATAAATTATTTTTTTATTTATTGTAAAATCTTCTAAACTTGGCAATAAAAAATATCCTATACTCAGAAAGAAACTACTAAATTTTTATAAAAAAACTATTACTCAAACCCAAAGAAAAAATACAAAACTCTAGAAAAACATCAAAGTACAATTAAATTATATATTAAAACCCAATAAAAAACTAGCAAAAGAATATTTAAAGCTTATAAATTATCAACTTATATTTAATAAAGAAGTTATTTAATTGTGAAAAATACAATTTAATATAATAAAAAACATATTATAACAAACTATAAAATAACAAAAAAAAGCTATAAAGAATCTTATAATATAGCAAATAAAAATAGCTTTATAAAATAACAAAAAAAAAATACTTTGAACAATAAAATAAAATATAAAAAAGCTTTATTAAATAATAAAAGAAAGTACTAGTGCTCGGCACAATCAAACAAAAATTTAACAGTCAAATACTTGTTAATATTTGTGATTAAGTCAGACATCAAATGATTCAATAGTATTTATTTAGCTTTGGTTAATCTGCAATCATTTGACATCCAATTTAAGCATAAGTATTAACAAGTATTTGACTGTCAAATTTTTGTTTGATTGTGCTGAGCACTAGAAAGTACAAATAAATATCTTGTAAAATAATAAATAAAGCTCTATAAAATAACAAAAAAAGATATTGTAAAAATTATAAAAAGCTTGTAAATGACAAAAAAAAAGTATTTAAAACAATAAAATAAAATATAACAAAAGCTTTATTAAATAATAAAAGAAAGTATAAATAAAAGCTTTATAAACTAACAAATGAAAATACCTGATACTATAAAAATAATAAAAGAAAGCCTTATAAAAATAATAAAAAAAGCTCTATAAAATAACAAAATAAAATATAAAAGAAAGCTCTTAAAATAGCAAAATAAAATACAAAAAAAGTAATAAAAAAAAGTTTTTAAAATAATAAAAAAAAAAATATAAAAAAAAGCTTTATAAATAACAAAAAAAGCTTTTAAAACAATAAAAAAAAAAGCTCTATAAATTATAAAAAAGATATTATAAATAATAAAGAAAATATATATTATAAAATAACAAGAAAAAGTATTATAAAAACTAAAAAAAAATAATAAAAAAAAGTATAATCTGATTTTTACCAGGTTAAAAAACAAAATTTTAGTAATTATAAAAAGTTATAATTAAATAAAGATTAAATTTTATATGTTTACTAATTATCAGACCCAAAAATAGTATAATTATTACAAGATTGTAACTATATTAAGAGAAACTATAATATGATCAAACTATATTATAAAAATATAGTATAATAAACAAATCTAATTTTAATAATTATTATTATAGTTTAGCCAATTTAATAAATTTTTTTTTTTTTGACATTGCTAATCTCATTAAGAGTGTTAGGGTAAAGCGTGTTACAGAAATGGAGCTAGAGGATTTAAATGGGTATCCTCCATAGTTGGATGCAAGTATGGTAGCTAGTGTGGAACCTAGAGCAGACTACTTAAATAGGTAACCAAAAGTTGCATGTATGGCTAGTCATACTCTCATTAGTTAAATAATCAGA